TCGTAACATTCCGTAAGTTCGAGGAAGACGAAACGGCGCTATGGAAAGGCCGCTTAGTTTGTAATCGAAGTGACGGGTCTCAATACGTGCACGCCAGCGTTCGACCTTCGCTGAATTGGCAGTACTTCAAACGCCGCACACACCGCGAACATTTCCCAGTTTCGAGGACGTTCTCTTATCTACGAAGCCATTTAGAAAACTTTTGGAATATGCGACGCCTGTCCATAGAGATCTTCATTTTAACCCTATATCTTTTGCAGTAATATACAGCCAACTTTGATTTCATTTTTCGGAGTTGGCAGACCGAAATAATCGTTGGCAAACTTAATGTTAATTGCCCAGGCAGGTGATCCTGACGCCTTATAGCTGCCTCGCAAATATAAGTAATTATTGATGACGATTTTCCACTGTTTTATTTGACTGTGACTGTAGAGTGTTTGCATCAAACCTTGAGTGTTCTGGGTTGACGTAGTGTTGCTATTTAAAGGCACTTTGTGCGACACATTCTGCAGATTAATGACGAATGATTTCTCACGAATGGACGAGCGGGAACATGGGGTGACCTGTAGGCGTTGCCAACACTCGTCAATCGACTGATCTGGCTTCTGACTGACTAGAACACACTCAGCCTGGCTTGCCGCCTGACCGTTGTTTGAATATCACTTTAGCGAACGTCTGCAGCGGTGCCGGAAGTACGCGTTGACAATAACCTAGTCAGCAATTCTGAACATTGCTTCATCATTGTGACTTTAAAAACCAAACCTAAAGCGCCATTTGTATGAAGATTGTTTGAGGGTTAGCTCGGTGAAGTCCGGTATTTCACCCCCAGTCAGTGGGTTATGACGAGGATTCTTTCAACCTGTTCTTGCAGCTGTTCTTAACCGTGTTGTCCGGTTGCTGCTGTTAGCGCGTTGAAGCAAACGTCAAATGACCAATTGAAGTGCCCTTTCACTCATACTCTTGCGCGACACTCATTAGTTGTTTTCCATTTCAGCAAAGTATGACTTGCCCGTCGCAAGGGAACGATTACTCCTTGCCTACTACATAGGTTGCATAGTCTACTCTGATATAGCAGGAAAGTGGAATTGGCCCCGCCAGCTTATTTAACTGAGAGTCTGGATAGAAATTCAGACAGTTGACATCCGCGTTGTACTGATGCAGCCAAAGTGGTGAAGAAACTTCTGCACATTCAAGTATCCAGTGCCAAGAGTTTGTTCCTAACTGGGCAATCGAGTTCGCATATTATTCATCTCCACCACCGAACCAGGGCCTGTGAAACATCTCAGTTCCCGTTAACGTCATTAGTGTCGATTAGGACAAATTAAGTTTGTGAATGGAAATTGTGAGTACAGGTGAGTTCTAAACAGCCACTGGAATCATTTGTCTCAGGTATTCCTTAGCAAAATTGGCAAGCAAACTTATTGAGCTTTAGTTCACGGTCCTCATGATTCGCTTCCTTCATCCATCATTCCAGTATTTATAAGCCTTCGCTGCTCTGGTCACATTGTCGTTGCTGATCCGCAAATGCTTATTCGTTAGACTCGAGAGCCTGCCTATTTTTCAGTCAACCTTTACTCAACGTGGTTCCACTACTCACTGCGTGTGATCATGCTAGGTAGGTTAACAGGTAACTAGGTAGTTAACAGGTAACTTGTTAGAAGCCCAGCCTAACCTTCCGGGCTGTCCTGAGGCGTCATGCCTGTAGCCGATGGCCAACAATGGTTCATTGCTCAATGGGAGTGACCTCGAGGTCTTGTGCCTAAGCTGTGGCTGTCCCCA